GCGGCTGTCTCAGGTCCGATGGCCCCCATAGTAAGGGTGGTAGGACGGGTAAGTCCTTTCCCAAGGGAAGCAATCAATGCGGCTGTCTCAGGTCCTTCACCCATGATGGACGGAAACAGCGAGTGGGTGTTAATGCAAGGGTCGCTGGACCCAGTTCCCAACTTGAGTGGTAGTCTGCTTTGATTTCATCGCAGGTATCTTCAGGGCAGTGGGTGGTGCGCACCACAGGGTATCAATTGTTCGGCAGCCGTTGATGCTTAAAACCACCACTCCCTGTGAGTTCGGGCGGGTTTTGAGGAAGGGTGGCGACCACCCTCTTGATGAGTCGGTGAAATTGAGGGTGCAGCCAGGGGTCCAGGTGGATTATCAATTTTCAGTATCGTCGGTTAGGGGACTATGGAGACTGTACCCTCAAATGCAGTATCATCGGTTAGGGGACTCAGCCCCCAAACTACGGATTTGGGGGGTTGAGAGTTCAAGTCTTTCCAAGCATGGGCCTATAACTCAGTTGGTTGATGTGGTTATTAAAGAATGTTTAAACACAAGTATAGTTTACTTGATGCGTAACCACACCCCGGGTAAAGGTGGATTATCACTTAGTGTAATCATGAGTGAGTCTCCGGGGAAACAGTTTGTCACAGCCCCCTCGTTTGTTTACTGGCCAGTTCTGTTTGACGATATGGAAGTTCTTTTTTTTACTTTTTTTTGTGCGAAAGGTAAATCCAAAGAAGTATGACGTGGATGGGACCAACAGAACGTGGTGTATTGATGCCACATTATAAGCGGGGAAGGGGTGAAACGCAGGATGCAAGAATGGCAAAAATCGGAGATTGACTGACGCCAAAGACCGTTACTGAAGCGGGGTCGTTTCTACGATAGCAATAAAAAATACCTGAAAAATGGGAGTAATGTGGCTATGGGACAAGGATGCGCATACGCGTTTCTTCTCAAGTTAAAGCAGGTGTTGGTTGATTCCCATGCTAAAAATAGCCGACCGTTCCCTATTGCTACAACGAACACAAGGCAGTTTGGGATAGGGGCTACTCTACAGCAAGATAAAGGGAAAAGCTACCAGCAAGTAGAGTTGAACTTCATGTCTTGACATTTCCCTTCCGAAAGGGTAGCTTTGGATATGCACGAGGGAGAATTATGCGTGCTATATACGTGCTATATTAGGTATTGAAGACATGGAGACGTTATAGTCTCATGGGCCGACAGTTCAAAAGTCGTGTCAGATCATGAGACCCTTTGTGTGAGCAGTTTTCTCCCTGGCGTCATGAGACCCTTTGTGTGAGCAGTTCTCTCCCTGTATGAGGTAGTGAAGACTTGGAAACGATTCTCTTGGAGACGACGACATGTATGTTTTGCTGTAAATCTGACTTCGTCTCTTTGTGTGAGCAGTTTTCTCCCTGGCATCAGTTCGTCGCCTGCGTCTGTCTCCTGTCTCCAAATTTCCCAGAGTCTCAAGTCCAACATATCATGGCCCAACCGGCTGGCCTTAGTATGGTTGTTCTGTGGAATGTCCAGTAACTAGCTTAAGTGTCAAAGCAACTGGGCCAGCAAGCCAGGGTGCGGTACCAGCCCAAAAATACCAAGATTGGCAACAGCAACAGGCACAAAGTCGAGCAGCAGACGAAGGACAACACAGTTTCCACTCGAGTAATATGTTGTGGAAGCGATGCATCAAGTGTCGGATGAGGCTGAGGAGTCAAGTAGATTAGTTGACACAGTTTTAGACTTGAGAGAGAGAGAGAGAGAGAGAGCTTTGATTTCATAGCCACAGCTGTACATTCAAGAGACTTCGATGTATAAGACTTTATTTTCCAACCGATTTCCGCTGAGAGAGAGAGAGAGAGAGAGAGAGAGAGAGAGAGAGAGAGTTGATTTCATAGCCACAGCTGTACATTCAAGAGACTTCAATGTATAAGACTTCGATTTTCCAAACAATTTCCGCAGAGAGAGAGAGAGAGAGAGAGAGAGAGAGAGAGAGAGAGCATTGGTTTCATAGCCACAGCTGTACATTCAAGAGACTTCGATGTATAAGACTTCGATTTTCCAAAGAATTGCCGCTGTGTACATGCGTTGTGTTGATTCACATCTCATATGTGGATGGTGGTGTCACAAAGAGAGAGGGAGAGAGAGAGAGAGAGCATTGATTTCATAGCCACAACTGTACATTCAAGAGACTGATTCACATCTCATATGTGGATAGTGGTGTCACAAAGTGTAACTCGTGGTGTTGCAAGCAGTGGAGTAAATTTATGAGATCATTGCGAACGAGTCTGGTCTTACCGGTACAACTGGCTCGAACTTTAAAGAGGAAATGTCATTTGCAGACTAGTTTGATGAACTTTGATCTGTACAGCATATGGCTCAGTTTTGTGAGCTGGAAGGCAGGCTCCACCCTGGGTAATCCATATTCATTTTTTTTGGTTGGACGATTTTGATCATGAGCATTTTTTAGATCTTTCATTCCAATTTTTTTTTTTTCGTCCACAGTCTCCTGCTCTTTCAATTGAGCTTGCATGCGACTACTGGTACGGGGAAGTGTATGCGAGAACGATTGTGGAGAGGATGGGGTAGTAGGGAATGCTACCCAGACTGGTTTCTCTCTTCAGGTTCAGGTGTTTGCTGAGCTGACATGGTATCTGTTGTGGTGCGTATTGCTTTCACAACTGGCAATGATGCAGTGGGAGGATTAACGGAGCTAGAGGACGATGGAGATATATCGATTTTTGATATTGTTGATGCTGTGAACTGGAACGCGAATCTCAACTTCACTGCGCATCTGGCAAGGAGCCATCTGTTTTCTGGTCTTCCGTTTCATATCATACAAGCGGTAAATTGATGCGCCGCTCTTATGTTCTCTCAAACCTCGCACAACCCATCAAAACTCGAATTCATAAACCATCAAAACTCGAATTCATAACCCATCAAGCAATTCACACAACCCATCAAAACTCGAATTCGTAAACCATCAAAAAAATCACAGCTCATTGAACTAATAAATAGTAATAATAGGAATAGCTAGCCCAATATCAGATTCTGCATTACCTGCTGCTATCTACAATATTTTCCTAAATTGTGAAGTTCAACGTGGCCTCCCGTGACAGGCCCATGTGAAACCCGGTCGGCTGGCAGGACCCATTTCCCTGGTGGGCAGAACGGTGTAGGTTTTTACGGTGTAGGTTTCCTTTTTTTTTTTTTTTTTTTTTTTTTTTTTTGTCTTTTGGGGCTTTCATCCCCCAGCATGCTGCTCGCCGGGGATAGGGCTGCCGAATGGGTGGCTGACGACTACCTTCGCCCTAGCTGGGGCGGTGGCGGGTGTGGGCCGGTCATACCCGCTTCTTTGCTCTGCCTGTAAGGTAGCCTTGAGATATGATGGTGAAACAAACTCAGGTTTGCATTTCAACAGTTTATGGGTGTACCAGCTGAGCTAACGTTGGTGTCTGCCAAGCAACTGATATTGCGACTTGTAAGTGATAATCTGCCTAGTCCCACTTGCGTTGCTGAAGGTGGGCACCGGCTACTGTCACCCAACTGCTGCCTTCAAAGTGTGTACCAACCACGAGCTCCTATGTGGTAAAACCAAAGCAGGCTATCAGCCACCCACCGTCAATAATGTGAAATCCAGCAAGGTCCTTGTGAAAATAAAGAAAGGTCCGATACTTGCACCCAGATAGTGCATGCGAAGTTCCAGAGTGTAGACACATAACACAGTTCGCAAAAAGTGCACAAGACAAATGGGTGCCAGGAGCAACCCCGATCGACTGTGTGTGTGTAAGTGACTCGGCATAGCCATGATAGTTATTATGCAGCATTATATAGTATATACAGTTCGTCACAGCCCCTCGTTTGTTGTTCTCTTCTCCCTCTCTGCCTAGTACCGGTTCACCGGCCCAGGGGAGTTCTGTTTGATGATATATAGTATATGCTGGGTTGCGCGGCGTACACGTACGCAGGGTCCGTGGACGTGCATACGCCTATGCACATATGCGCATACGTACCGTGGATGTGTGCGTGTGTACTCAAAAATGGGTCCTGCGTATGTGGTCGTTGTGGGCCATTTCTGTGCCCGTGTTTGGCTGTGGTACCAAGTGGGGGGACTTCGGGAGACTGGGGTAATGCGGGGAAGGGGTCCGGTCGGGGGGTGCACCGTCTGCACCGTCATCACCCAAGGAGGAGTTGCCATCGGCCGAGGAGTCGCCATCGCCTGAGGAGGAATCGACATCGCCCGTCGCCATCGCCATCACCCGAGGAGGCCATCGCCTGGCGCCATCGCCATCGCCCGAGGAGGCCATCGCCTGTCGCCATCGCCCAGCGTCATTGCCCATCGCCATCACCCGTCGGCATCACCTGTCGATTGTTGCCCGTTGCAATTGCCCGTCGGCATCGCCTGTTGCCAGTCGCCTTTGTCGCCATCGCCCGTCGATTATGGGAGGAGGAACAAGGTCACGATGGGGAGGCTGAGGAGGATGGATGGCCCACGGCACAGCATTGGGACGCGTGCCGCAGCAGCAGGATGCGGCCCTGGATCATCATGGTGGCGCGAGGGTTTGCGGTCGAAAGAAGCAGAGGCTCGGGCCGCGTAGGTTCGTTGGTTCGTGGCCCAGGCCGCGTTGTATCCTGTATGTGCACGGTGGACAGCAAAGGCGCAGGGTGGTGGACAGCGAAGGTGCGGGGCACCAAAGACGGCAGTGCGTCAGAGGGGTTGTCGTGCAGTCCGTCGGAAGGGTCGTGGTCGGTGTACGTGACGTCGGGGGTGGTGTGAGAGGATGCGCGCGCGTGCGAGAGAGAGAGAGAGAGAGAGATTCCAGATTAGATTAGAGAGAGAACAAGCAATGAAAGCAGAAGTATGAACCACGCAGAATGAAGTAACACGTCACACCATCCACGACACCCAGTATCCCCGATTCAAAACTCTATTAAAAGCTCATAATAACCATTGTACGCGTTCGCCTCTACGCGTTTCGCCGCTAGCGGACTCAGCGGACTCATCAGGAGGCTTGTATCATCTTCCAGAACCGGGATACCAGGTACGTCGTCTTTGCCTTGTTAAATATTTTTCTCATGCGCATCCTAGCTACCATGTCCCCTACCCCATTCCTACCTCGGGCTGCCTCACAAGCTCTACCTCCCCCAATCTCCCGTACGCTACTGTTTTTCGATTCCCTACCTTTGCTACCTACTGCTCCTTTGTCCAAACTCTCTGTATCCCCCTCCACCCCCTCCCTCCTACTCTCCACCACTCCCTCCTTTTCCTCGGGCGCATCATCGTTACCCGATCCTCAACCCTTTTCTTCAGAGCTCCCGAATCGATGGTCGATTCACTTCTCCAATATCCCGATTAGTCAGGCCACCGCTCCGCTGCTCTTCTTATCTACTCGATACTCGATGTGCTTCTCTCACGGCTCCACCGCCTCCCACCTACCCACTTCTCCTTTCCTCGGTGCGTACCAGATCCTTGCAACGTGATCTCATTGCCCGATGATAGATCTGTCTGGGTTTACGTAGTCCGATCGCTCATCCGACTGCTTCCCGTTCGCTGCTTCCCGTTGCGCATCGGTACCCGATCCTCAACCATCTTCTTCTCAGCTCCTGGATAATATCCGGATTAGTCAGGCCGCCACTACGCTGCTCTTCTCACCTTCCCGATACGCGATGTGCTTTCCTCACGGCTCCACCGTCTCCCACTTACCCTCCTTACCCACTTTTCCTCTCCTTGGCTCGTACTGGATCCTTGATTGCAACGCGATCTCAATGCCCGATGATCGATTTGCTTGGGCCTACGTAGTCCGATCGCTTCAGCCGGCTACTTCCCGTCGCTATGCATCTTCCTGACTCGTTCATTATCTCTCTCTTTACCCTCGTCTTCCTATCCAAACTTCTAATCTTGGTTGCGACCCTGCCGTCCCCGTCCCCGTGATTCCCCTCCGCTTATGTAGCAACACTTCAAATAGATCGTCTTTTGTGCTATACCGCTCCTTCTTCTGTTCTGCGTAAGTTAGGACCGCCCCGAAGTAATCTCCCAAACATAAAATAATATTTTTGGAAAGCTTCGCCCCAAATCTCGACAGTATCCTAATGGTCTCAAAACAAAATTTAGAAAATTCCAAAATTGCTCCAAGCGACTATTTCTCGGAAAACAAAATTTAGAAAATTGCTTCAAGCGACTATTTCTCCGAAAACAAAATTTTAAAATTACAAAATTACTTCAAGCGATTATTTCTCCGAAAACAACCGCAGAAAAAATGAAAAAACATTTTTTTTAAAAAAATCACGAACTTACTTCAGGCGATTATTTCTCCGAGAAACAACCGCAGAAAAAATGAAAAACAACCAAAATTCACAAAACCAGTCCTTTTCCGAAAATACACGCGATCCACATTCCTCTCTTCCTACTATTACACCCCTCCCGAGACCATATACCTTTCCAGCCCGGGGTACTCGTTGGGGGGATAAACCCCCCATGGACCCCCGGTCATCTTAGCAAATCTTGCTAGGGAGATAAACCCCCCATGGACCCCCGATCATCCTAGCAAATCTTGCTAGGGCCCCGAGAGAGACCTCCAGGGGATATCCCCGGAGGCGGGTTTCTATCATCAATGCAGCGATCGCAGCCATCATTGCTTGGTCCGAACTGAAATTCGGTTCATCCGGACCAGGGCCACATAAATCGTTGCCTTCTTGGATGCCTTTCTTGTAAACGAAGCAAAATCTTGTATCGATTGCACCTTCAAGCGCCCTTCTTTCGAAAGAGATTGCTGATTCCTTGTTCTGGGAAACACATTCACTCTTACTGGTTCTATCTCGATGATAACCGGTTTTCCCAGAAAGTCAAACGCATTTCCACCCTCCTCCTTCCGAACCAGTTTGAGATTCTCATCATAACAACGTTCAAATTCGTCTAAAATCTGGACAGCCCTTCGAAAAGTCTCGGGTATACCTGGTGCAAACCCAACCATCACGGCTACATCGTCGATCATTTGCATTCCTCTTACCGTCAGTCCAGCTTCATACGTCCTCTTCATGAATGCGGACTCAGCCCTCGCACAGACTAAACAGGCTAGAGCCGGACTCGAATTCCTTCCCATCGGAATTCCAAAACGTTGAGACAACACGCTCCCGGCACATTTAACAAAGGACTGTAACAGCTCAAATTCCACCTCCTTTCTAACATCATCAAACACTATTATCGTGAATCCCTCCTCCTTCCGCACTCTCTTAACCATTGCACACATCTTCCCTCTCAAGCTCACCTTTACTCCTTTCATTCCCTTCTTCTCATGATATCTCATCCATTCCACCGCATCTAGCACGCTTTCGTGAGACAACCGAGCAAACATGTTTTTAACATCATAACTCCGAGCCAGAACCCCGTCCCCACATGCCATGAACTTTCCTTCTACTCCCTTACACCACTCACCCATCTCATCCATCGACTTCAGATCAAAGTGATCAGCCCACCAAAAAGCATAAAGCGAATTGCTTTACCCACCCTTGCTGCAGCTAGTCGCGTCGGATCAAAGGTACTTTGTGAGATTGGTCTCCACCTTCCCAAGTCCTTGTCTTTCGGTAGCACATACGCCTGTCCTATCTTCCCACCTGTCTGCCAGCGTGCGATTCTGTCCAACCCCCTTCGTACATACTCATCTTCCATCCTTGCGATAATCTGAACCTCAGACTTGTGCAGTACTTGGAAACTTGGGTTGCAATTGAATGTCTCGACACATGCTCGGTCATACAGCATCGGACAAAGAAGTAATGTTGCCCCCAGATTCCTATCAGTAGGCACGGCCACCAGCCTGGTATACTTCCGGAACACCCTCCTTACCTCGT